TTGCATCTTGCATCTTGCATCTTGCATCTTGCATCTTGTGATAGCAATACTACTACCAATACTACCAGTAATAACTTGCAACTAGTAGTAATAATAATCATCATCATAACTGTTGTGGTGGTGGTCTTGGTTGTGGCTGTTGTTGCTCTTGCTGCTTTTGCTGCTGCTGTTGCTATTGCTGTTGCTGTTGTTGTTGTTGTTGTTGTTGTTGTTGTTGTTGTTGCTTCTTGGTGCTGGTGGTTATTTCTCTTGGCAGCAGGAGCGGCAGCTACAAGTAGCAGTAGCAGCACGAGCAGCCACAGCTGTAGTGTAGTAGCGAGGAGGAAGAGATAGTACGGTGCGTGGTTGATGGGACAAAGCCGAGATAAACAAAACATGCACTCATCGTGTTGAGGCACTGATCGGTCCAAGGTAGACGCCATTGCGGATGAACTTCTTTTCCTGCGCGAGGGAAGAAGAGGGGAATCTGCCTAGTATGCCTTTAGACCGAATCTCCTCTTTTGCTCCAACTGAACAGACGCTACCTCGAAGTCGGCTCCGCTGGGTTTCGTGGCTTCTAGACGAAATGCAGAAGCTGAGCATGACATTAAGGTCGAGGAGCCACCCCAGAGAGCTGAACGTTGGCTCGGAGTTATCCATGGAGCAGATGCTGTGATACTCTCTGCTCTTTTGGGCCCTGCATGGCAGGTCCGAGTTCAAGGCCCTCAGACTCAGATGAACCCTGAGCCCTTTCGGTGAAGGCGGTCCATATCGAAACGTTGCACCGCCGTAATGGGCACATAGTTGACACGCCCAATCTCCTCAGCAGCACCGGGGCGAAGTCGAAGCACCGGAGCTAGGGTTTGACGGGTCATACCTTCCTACAGCTTCTCGGCGATGTGCAGTTCAAAGTTCTGGCTTGACAGGGTTATAGGTTCGGGATGTTCGGCTCCACGCTCCCCACTGTCTGATACTACGCATTCGGTTCTTATGGTTCTTCAAGACCGCATGCTTGAGACAAGCCTTTCCTAGTCCGAAGAGCCACCTTGGACGACCTCGGGGCCACTGCAGGGCCACGTAATGCGACGGACCCCGGCACTCATTGAAGCAGAGGGCTGCAAAATGAACTGATTGCGGGTCGAGAGCGCAATCAGACGAGGCCTCAAGCGGCTCGTTTCGCACACATATGTCGGCAAGCGGCGTCTTCTGTCTTCTTCGTGCCAGTGGTGTATATAAGGCGCCAGTCGCCAGTCAAGTATTTCGTGAACCCGGAATCGCCTGTTCGATTCCTCGGTCGGGTCATACACAACCACAAATTTCCTAAACAGCCCCGTCATGTACGACTACTGGAATCCCATGCCAGCTCTCACTCCTTGCGAATGCAGCCATGGGCTACGTGGCATCATGTTCAGAGGCAAAGGTGACTGCATCAAGTCATGCAGGAGGACGCATTTACATGCTCGGCTTGGGCTCAAATCGTATTTTCCTAAAGTGGTGCACGAGTAACGGCTGATTCCCACTCGTTCAGCGCTTAAGAGAAATTGGTTCCTCCTGTGCAGCCGGACAGCTTCGCTTTCTCAAGCACGCGAATTGCCTCAAAGACGTCTTCGGGAGATGTCCTTGCAGTGTCTTGCAGTGACTGGTGGCCTTCACTCCTCTGCTCCGAGAAGGAACGCACGAAACCGGTGTCAGGAGCTCTGAAATCCAGATGTCATCAACAACACTGCAGAACCACAGTTAGCTTCCGCTCATGGCTGGGTCGGTCCGATTCCATAACAACTGATCATCCCCAAACCCTCAGACAAAAAAACACAGAAGCCCTAAACCAGCCCTAGAAATCTAGACCCCATAGCTACAGCCCCAACATCCTAAACCCCAACACCCTAAAAGCCCACAAAACCCCAAACCCCCAAACCGCAAAAACCTAAAACCCCAAAACCCAAAACGCTCATCTCATCTTTGAAGGCTTCGAAGGCTCTCACGGGTCAGGGCAGACTCCGCCAGTGTGGCGCGGGCGGCCTGACGACATCCATCGGTTTGGGGTTCGAAATTTGGGGTTTATCCTGTTTGAGAGCTTCGGGTTTAGGCTTTAGGGTTTGGTTTAGGGTTTAGAGTTTAGGGAGCTTAGGGTCTAGGGAGTATGTAGGGGTTTGGGGTTTAGGGTGCATTTTGACTCGCACTCTCGCACAATGAAGGCACGGATTGCAGCGTTCACAAGCTGACGTGAGACTAAGCATGGCTCATCACTTAAACCACTGAATCGCCGGCTCCAATCAATCAACATCTTATCTGTCTATCTATCTATCTATCTATCTATCTATCTAGAGGTTAAGGGTTTAAGGTTTAGGGGCTTGAGGGTTTTGGGTAAAGGGTTGAGGGGTTTGGTGACAGTTTGGTGTTACGGCTTTGAGGCATATAGGCGGTGCAAGGGATTCCATAACATACAGAGCTACTACGCAGTGTTTCTATACGGGTTGCTACAAGGGCTTCTATGGCTTCAAATTGTTTAAAACTGTTCTACTGTTCTATACTATCTATACGGGTTGCTAAAAGGATTCTCACTTAGGGCTGCCATAGAGGTTATATAACGGGTTTCTGTTGGGGTCTTGAGAACATACGGGGTTCTACAAAGCTTCTATGAAAGGGCCACGAAAAAGACTTCTATAAGGGCTGTAAGGCTTCCTGACGCCTTTTGGCGGTAGGATTGATTCTGTTCTTGCTGCCTTTCTCCATCCCTGCATCCCGCGCCGAGGTAGAAGGGTCGTTGGGGTAGGACTTTGGGCTGGGTGTTTCAAACATTATGTTATTTAGAGCACGCAATACGTCAATGGTTTTAGGATCTCGACTCACACACTCGCACCAGGCAGGCATGGCTTGGGAGGGCCTGAGCTTGCTACTTTGACTCGTTTTAGGATTTAGTGTTCAGGGCTTCGAGCATTTATGGTATTTTATAGGGATTAAGGTTTATGATTCTGGGGTTTCACGTTTTTCGGGGTACCTGCTCTGTTTGTCTTGGACGCCAGGGGGGCGCGGAGGCAAAGCTGCTGAAAAGGCGATCTTCCCTGGACATGCAACAACAAGTGAAGGCATCCACCGCAGTACAGGTGAACCTTCCCGTGGTCGCACACTGCACGGCAAAGAGCCGCAAGCCTTAAACCCGGGAGTAAAGAGACTTAAATCCTATCTGCGAATCCAAAAGTAAGCATGCCAAGCCCGAGATCCTAACCCCCAGTAAAAACGCTCTCTCGGAGCCTATACCATCACACCCCCCCCCGCATGTTAAAGCCTCTACAATCCCTAAAATAGAGCTGATCTACGAATCAAAAGTGACAAACAACAAAACAACAGACAGGCCTCGGGGCTCGTTTCCAGAGACTGCTTCGAGGGGCTTGCGGCCACCTCGCAGGGACTCGAGATCTTACCGCCTCAGAGCTATGTAGTACTTCAGGCAACCTGCTTTCTGGGTCTGGGGTGCAGTTTTAGCTCAGTGGTTTAATGGAGATACCTCAGGCTCAAGCTATTACTTGCTGCGGTGGGCTGCGTCACCAACACAAATGCATATACATCCAAGCCCTCAAGCCTTTACCTATACCGAGAGGAACGACAACAGAAATCCGAGAAGCTGCAAACTAGAGTCGAGCCAATCGACACACACTCAATTCGATCCGTCTGAAATCCAAAAAGAAGAGCGCAGAACAAGAAAGCCGATAACCTGAGCTCCTAGGACCCGAAAACGATGTCCCAGATGAGGATTGGCTGTGACGGCCCCCAGCCTGGAACCACAAGCCCCAAAGCCTACATCCTACGGGGTGGTCCCGATCGAAACCCTACCGTACACCACCATAACCTACTTGTGGTTCTCTAATATAGAATTTACAAGGACCCTACAACAAAGGTAGGTTCTGGTAGTTCAAAGTACCCATAGGCCCCATAGTAGTTCCTTTTTGGGAGTACCAAATAGGATCCTAAATATAAGCCACAAAAAGGAACTACTATGGGGCCTATGGGTAAACCCCAAATCCCCTCTAAACCCCCATCCTCCGCACGCCGTGCTAGGCGCTGGGGGGCCACAGGAGGCCTCTGCCCCGGCACCACGAACGCCGGGGCGAGCATGAGGGCCATGCACCTAAAACAGGAGCTGTAATTAGAATAGGGTTCCTCGATGTAAGGGCTTTTGGTTAAAGGGTTCTATAGAAGGGTTCCTCTAAGCGTTTCGGATAGCGGCCTGAAGAACTCGAATAGGGTTTGAGGTCGCATGCTACAGAATAATCACTAATTCAGTCTTCCACATTATGGCAGACAGGCTCGGGGTTTAAGTTTGGGGTGACAGCCGTAGAGCGTCGAGTTCAGGAAGTGAAGCTGCGGAGGCTCAGAATATACTTCCAGGTCTATGTAGGGTTCCTGGAATGAGACCCAACGCTTGACTCCTCTATCCTAGTTTTGACAGGCAGACGTGGCACCCCGACACATGCACCCATGTTCGTTTCCATATGCCGAGACAGGAGATAAATGGGCAGAAAGGTGCAATTTAGCCTATTCAATGACCAAGGAACAGAAATACCGTCCTATGATGCGAGATTTCAATCTACTCGCGATGAACCATGAGCAGGTGCACCACCAAAGGCATCGCGAACCACGAGCAGGCTTGCCACGGTGCCGGGGAGCCATGGCACGGAAAAAGGCTAGTGGTCGCTCCACCTCCACACTGATAGATGCATGCGATTCACAGACAACGCATGCATCCGAACTGAAAGTCAAGGGGACGAAACCACCAAAAGCGAAAGGCTGGTAAATGGAATTCCTAGGAGCCAGGAGCTTGACGGAGACCCATCGCCTCCATGACTGTAAGACTCAAAGCCGAAAGCTGCAGAAAATTGACAGGTTCCAGGAGCCCTACTGCGAGGCCTGAAATGCGATAGCCGCATACCGAAGGACATCACGAGGAAAATCCGACCCCGCCTGCCCTGCTAGAGAGGCCGAAGTCAGAAGAGTAACGTTTCGAGGCATTTTGTAGTAGAATCATATTAGGGTATTGAGGAACCCTAAGGAACCCATGTTCCTAGTCACACAAACCTGTATGTTACCCCTTGTGCTGAACTGCCAGGTGTCAACGCTGCTTCGGGTAGTGGGTAAACAGACTTAGAATAGGGTTTCGGGGCCCCGTATAATTACTATAACTACAAAATAACGACCCCCCAAAAATAGTACATTAGGCAGTTATCTGGGGCTCAGGCAGCCCGAAGCTTCTCTGCAAAATGAAACCTCTAAACCAAAAGCCGACACTGAAGCCTACGAGCAGAGACTTGAGGCCTAAGGGCTATGTATGAAAACAGCGGAGATTAGGGTTTAGGATTTAGGGTTTAGGGAGTAGGGTTTAGAGTTTAATGGGAAAGGACCTGAGTGATTTGATACATGATCCCGGTAAGTGTGCTTCTAAGTTGCTTGTGCTCCTATTGTTATCTTCAAGATATCGCTACACACATCCACAATACTACATTGAAGTGACCGATCATGCGTTTACTAACCTAGTACATGTGCAATGTGTCAGTCATGAGTTGGTGGTGCATGCAGACAACCTGTTGCGACAAACAGACACTGCGACAGTCCACGCATGCATGTATGTCTGAGCAAAACAATCGGCAGTCCACACGTCTACAAATACAGACTTTCATTTTCTAGAATCCTAGAACAGCAGGTAGTGCGTGCAATTGTGCTCGAGCTAATACAAGCAGCTTTAGCCTTGCACCCTTTGGCTTTCGAACGCATCGTTTGAATATTTAGGGTTGAAGGTGCTACATTATACATACCTGCATACCTACACGTTCATTCGTGCATACACTACTGCGTGTGTAAAGAGAAGGTGTGTAATTGTATGTGTCTTGTATGCTCCATATCCATGCCTGCATACTTGTTGCAAAACGTATGGCCAAACATAAACAAACAGACAGGAGCAAACTAAACATGTTGTTCCCCCCTTGCAATAAGGGCGTACCACCTTAGCAAGTGCGTGTTTAGGTACGCTTTGGGGGGCTCACGGTCTGCTCGGAGTGAACATCGGGGGCCTTCCGCGGCTCCCGAGTCAGCTGCAGCACGCTGATGTAGGAAACTGCGGAGTAGCTTTGGGCTTTGGGGCTCAGGCTCAGGGTTTCTAGCAGGCTCGTAGAAGAGGGTTCTATAGGCGTTCTGCAGGGCTTGCGGGATTAGTAGCCTTTTTCCCGATTGCAATGAGAAGGCTTTCGGTTATATGCTCTCAGAGCAACCCCAAACTCCATCAGCCTTTTCCGTACCCCCTATGTAACGCACTCAGCGGCCACAACATCGAGGGGGCGACTGAAATCTGCGAGATAGGGTAGACCGAAGCCCTTGAATGCTCTGCCAAGAGCCGAAAGATGTTGGGTGGCCTCCCAAGAGGATGAACAGCGAGACCTGGGCAGTCAAGAACCGTTCTCACGGCAAAGCCTTACTGACGGAAACACGACAGAGCTAACATCGGCCGCAAAAGGTGCACCACTGCAACCGCCTCATCTCTAATACGTGCGTAGAAGACATAATAACAGTAACAGTACGTAATATTAGCAGTGGATATATGGGGCCCCTGACCCACTGCACGGACCACTGGGCTGCTGGGGGCATGTTTTGGGGTCCTAGGCCGACTGTGGCTTTTACGAAGAGATGGCGCTCAGGTCCCGGCAATGGTGGCCAACTTTCGCGCCACAAACTCTGTGTAGCTTCTCCCCACCTGAGGATTGACGTGTCTCCGCTCCTCCATGCAAACTGTAGAGAGATTGACGCGGACTGCGGTCGAGACTCAGCTGCGAGGAATCAACTTAGCAAACCCCCAAGCTGAACTCGAGCAGGGGGGTCTGGTGGTTGGCTACTGACTCGATGGGACTTGGGTGTTTGATGCCGGTCTACTTCTCCACCCTAAAGCGTTTAGAAGGGTTCAGAAGTCAGTAGTTTTGCAGCCAGCCGCCGCAGCAAGACTGAGCCAGACAAGGATAAAGAAACAAAGCGAGAAACTCGGTAAGGGAGAGATCGAGAGACAGAAGAATGGAGATTGGAATCCCAGCCACCAACCTCTGCAAAATGAAGGCTCAAGCATGAGGCTCCAGCAGGGGTTGGCAGCAAGCAAGTAAATCGTCGTAACCCCAAGGCATCTACCAAACGCTGCAGGCGAATCCACTGGCCATCATTCTTAGGAAGCCCAGCATTTGGGATTCGGCTTGAACACCAAAACATAAAACCACGCCAACACAAACCTGCTTGTAACCTCAGAAAAAAGCTGCGACCCGTTCAAAACCAGAACCACGCACACAGCCTTACATCTGACCAGCGTAAAATAAGACAAACAAGAGACTTGTGGATATAAAGACACTGCTTCAGCAGTAGAATGCAGCACAGGTAAGAAGTGGCGGTGATGGCTGCATTGGCATTAAGCGAAACAAACATGTCTGAGACGCACAACTATCCCCCAACTAGCAAATCAGATAATCTGACTGAAACCCAAAAGCAGCAACCACTCGCAAACGCTGAGAACCAAACGTCACGCCAGTTGATGTCCGTCGGATTCGGTGCTCTGGACACTTTGAGTGGATACCTGCAGCAATGTCCAGAAGTGCAAAATCAAAATAACCTTGAGGTGTTTTACAAGTTGCTTCCGAGTTTTTTGGCTCAAGGGTTTTGGGCCATGACGCATTCAAGTTTCTGAATTTCCTTGGTTCGGTGGCGGGAGGTAAGGCATTAAGAGCCGCGCTGAGAAAGCCTGCCTGCCCATTGCTGCTGCTTCCTACTCCTACTACGACGGCTACTACTGACTGCACCCACTGCTGCTGCAGCTGCTCCTGCTCCTGCTCCTACTCCTTCCTCCTGGTCCAACTCCTCCCAAAAGCCCCGCTCCAATTTATGCTGGTGGTGTGGAACAGGGAGACAGGACGTGAAAACCAGATTCAAGAGCTTCGCCTTTTGGATTGGAGTTCCGGGGCCCCCCTGCAGCTTAACAGAATCAAACTGTTCTTGAAATGGCAGGTTGTCTTGGCACGAGTAGCGGTACTGTCTGTGTCTCGTCGCTGTCCATGGCTACCACCATCTTATAGCGTTTCATGATCTGTCGCTTCAGTCCTCTCCTATTGAAGCTCTGGAGGAAGCTTGGGGCGCGACAGTGGCACGCCGCCAACCTGCCAATTCTTGCCGATTGTAAGATGAGATATGCCGGTGGTCAACGATCTGCTCGGGCCCCACGAACGAAGGCCGAAGAACTGCTGCTGCAACAACACTTACGTGAGAACAGAATCATAACGGAACTCTGTGGATGCCCTGGCCTTCAATCACTAGAGCTCCCCAACCCTAAACCCTCGAGCTTCGGGACTGAGCCGAAAGGCCGTCACACGAAACACTTCAGCCACAAGCCCAAGGTCCTCGACAGGCGCATTTCCCTTATTCAGAAGAGCTTGAGGTGTCTAGTAATAGGCTCTTTGTGACTCTTGAATGAATTAGCCTACTACCCAATATTACCCACAAACCTACCTCGCCCTTGTAACAAACACCCTCCAAATAGTCAACGGAACAATCCTTGAGCGATGCTGGCTCGACCATCAAAGTCTCAGGTTGCTTACTCCAGGAACAGCTCCAGGTTCCTCTAAGGGTTCCCTTGTTTTGGTGTTTATTTTATGTTGTCGTTCCTGGCCCCCCCTCTCCTCACCCCCACCTCCCCCGCGAGAGACTGAAGGCTTGAAATGATGGAGAAACCTTCTCAATCTATAGCCTCACTCTGCACGTGGTACCCCAAGACAAACAAGACTAGCACGTGTCCTATAACATAAAACACGACAAGAGAAGACTAGATCTCAAAATACCACACACAGACAAAGTAAACATTCCTAAACCCTTAAAAAATCCACCATGTGGGAAATATGGGGCCCCCAAAACGCCTTTAAGGGTTGTATAAGGATTAGCTCCGACTATAATCCTACCCTCTGAACCCTTAATACACATCATCTGAGGCTGGTCCCATTATATCATATTTCCGTATAGCCACCCTACAGCAACCCCTACAGGAACCTAATACTACCCCTTTTGTAACCCTATAATGGTTTACGAACGGTTACGATACTTCTTTTATGCCCGAAGGGGGGCAGACAAGGGACTCGCGCCTCGAACTTGGGAAGATGCTCGGCATCCCCCGTCATCAGGGAGAACCTTTCTTGAAAGAACCGGAGAAACGCGACCCTCGCTACCTCTAAGTGTCCCTGCTTTGGACTCTCTCATCTCGGCGAGGGCTCAGGGTTTCCATTAACAGCCGCAGGCCCCGCATAAACTCTTTCTGTTAGGGTTTGGGGTCCTTCTTGCTCGCCTTCCGGCATGGGTCTCGATGGGGTCTGATGATATACTGTAAAGAAGTTAGAGTACAGGGATTGTAACATGTGAACAATGGCTGAAGGACATGTCTGTGAACACCGCATGCTTGTGATCAGTTCGTGGACCGAGCAAATGAACGAAGCCAGGTCAGAGGAATAGAATGTGCTTCAATCGCTCTATAATCATGGGAGCCCGGGGTGTACCGGGATTTGGCATTTCCGCCTCCGACAACTCGCAACAGTCGACAAAGAATGTCCATGCTGCGACTGGTCCATAACTTTCGAAGCTACGCAGCGGTTCTTGGTAAACCCAGACTCATCCCGAGTGTACGCCAGTCACGGGGCTGCACGACTTTCGCTAGTTCCGCCCAGTCTCTGCAACCCTGAACCATAATACCAATTAGTCGTCATCAGCCCCAAACACGAAGGCCCCCCAATGCTCTGCCAACACTGTCGATCGGTGGCTGAGACTGCGGCCAGCCACCTGATCATGGGGAGTTCGTCTTCCAGGCTTTTAAACCCGCTTTTGCTCCGGGGCACTCTCAGGGCTGAATCACCCATCATTCTTGCCAGATCCCAGGCCAAAAAGACAGGTCCCGACGCTTGATGACAGCAGCTCTTTCGGAACCTCTAGACACAGAGCCAAACCTCGGTTTAGTGTCAAATGTATTCGTGCCTCCTCCTGGCGCTCGGTTGAACCATCGCTGCATAAGGCCATCCCATCTCCGCAAGCACCTTGGTGCGTGCAGTACTTGCATTGGGGGGAGCAAAGATCCCCAAATGTCTACGTCTATGCAAACACGCTGCAGATCGATCCGTGACCATGCTGTAGCTTCCAGAGCTAGACTGCAGAAACGTTGTTCTAAGCGCCATCATTTCTAGAAGGAACAAGGGCTATGATTCCATGTTGCCGCTACCTGCCAAGGCGCGCAACTTGGTCTGCCTGCTGACGGAACACCTCAGAAATCACGTTACGGTATGCAACTCGGAAAACTATCATTGTGACCTCGTGCACAAAAACCTAGTTAGTAGGTGCTTGCAGCATGTTGTGCAAGGATGTGCAACGCCAGGAAAGTCATGAGTTGAAAGTTAAAAGCTGATTGGATGTTCAAGCCACAGTCTTCGAGGTCAGGGACCAAGGTCATAAGGTCAACCGGCTTGCTGCGTTGTTTTTTCACAACAGCCGAAGACCGAGCAAAACGCATGACTAATTCCTCCCTGCACAACTCCACCGCAGCCCGGTAGTTCTGGGGTCGAAACGACAATCGCGATGCCCGAGGATTTCAGCTCTCCGACCTGAGTTGTTGTGATAAGCAGGTTTCTATCAAGCAACTGATATTTCATACTCCTGCAAAAGGCTTGCGCTGCGGGGTTTCATAAGTTTACTATAGGAGCCTCCATAACGAGAACAGGGGTTCGGGGCTATAGGTAAAATCTAAATCCTACTACCTAGTGTCCTGAAAGACGCCAGAGGCCAACAAGCTCCAAATGTCAGTGTGGACGACAGCCATGCCTGCTCAAAATGGGTTCTCTGTAGTAACCGACCCATCATGTCGGCGCTCATAACTCCGACAATCCAGGCGAAGCATGTCTCGACAGGCCGGCTGTGTCACCATTGAGGGAGAAACGATTCCAACGCGGCCGCATGTGCGAAAAGATTCCACGGTATGGCCGGGGCTCCAAGAGCCCCCTTCCTCCCTGAGCTTTGGGTGCTGCAACTCTTAGAACTCTGTGAAGCCCACAGGTGAAAAGCCCAAACCCTAAACCAAGATGTGCCGCCAAGAATCCCCGCCCCGAGTGTCCAGGCTCTTCTCGAGAGCCTGATACAATGTTTATTCCTTTACTTTCTTTTGTTCTTTGCCGGCTTTCTTCCTGCCAGATAACCCTTAGCTTCAAGGTCATGTTGGCTGGAGCATTGGATCGGAGTGATGCACTATACCACCAAGCCGCTGCATGACCCAAGTCTCAAAGCATACCTGCATCGCCAAGCTTAGGGTTTCAGGGTTTCAGTTGGGTTTACACTTACCTGGACCCTGTGAAACCTGTCTGCAGAGAGGGCCATTAAGTGTTACTTCTCCTGGTGGTTGTCGGCGTCAGATGCTACTACCCTAAACCCTCAACCCCAAACCACCCGGGCATCCGGTTGGTTTAAACCACTGGCTTTAGAGCTTGTAAGCTTTCTGGAAGTCTGAAAGTGTGCTGATGTCGTGAAGGTGTTCGGATTTCGAGGCCCTTAACCCAGGCTGCAGGGCTTCAGTTGTTCGGGCTAGGGGCTTTTGGAGATCTGCTGGTTTACATGTCTAGCTGCTTCGGGTGCTAGGTGCCCTTTTAAAGGATCGTGAAACGATGCGTGAAACGATGCTGTCCGAAGCTTCTGTGTGGTCTTTTCAAACGGCTCTTCCTGTGTGTCGGGTCATAAAAGTCAGGACCTTGAACACCACCATGTCGCTCTCGAGCCATCCTCTTTCGGCAGATTCTCAAGTTTTCGGGATTAGCTGAGGCTTAAAGGAGGGACATCGCAAGCTTCGGGCGAGGCAGCGTGCGACTCAGGCAAGCAGGCCCGTCCAGTGAGTGGTAAACTGACGCGCCAATGCTCTGAAGCGTTGAGCATGTTACACAACTTCGAGACTTCACATTGCGAAGGCGGAAGGGCTCGAAACTCGCTGGTGAGTGAGACGGTGCGGTGTGGCCAGTCGTCGTTATGTTGCGGAATCGAAGCACCTCTTGCTGCTACACGATTTTCAGCCTTCTCTGATAAGCTCCAAAGCCTGGAGCAGTTGTGGGTTCTTTGGCAGGAGCAACTGGCCGATAGCCTGGGTACATCTCTAATCGGAAGTACGCCGAAGTCCTATTAATAGCCAGTCGACGCCCTACCGCACCAGCCGGCTTTCGGAGTTTCCTAGCCGAGCACTTCCTGGCACCCGGCAGAACTCATGCCAATGCTAGGCTGCTAGACTGTCTGATTGCCAAGTACTGGTATAAGCTCAGGAAGCCGCAATGACCAGAACAATTTTGAGTCGAGCCTTGCTTCGGCTCATCAGAATAGCCACAAAGTGCAATCAGAGAGGTGCTTAAGCCCCATCACTCGAGGTAGAACTCGGGCTTGTAATCCACGTACATCCGGCTGCCCGGCACCCAATGGGCGGGATTCCTGAGACAAGAGGTCGTCTGGAACATTCTGGAACACCATTGGCACGGCCCCAGCACCGACATATCGAGGATTACTGCATACATGCCAGATGGAAATGTTACACAAAGGACCAGCCCCAAAACACAAGCTGGGAATGTACAAGAAGCTATGACGAACATAGCTGCATCGTTGGGACTCACAGTGCGGGCGACTAAGTTACCATAGCAGTCGCAGGCATGCCCCGCAGGGCTTGACCCTACTGCACCGGATCACCAACACCGCGAAGTGCGCCCCTTTTCATTCATGCTTTCAAATTCGGGTTCTGGGTGACTGCAAGAAGAGACTAGGGGTTCTTAAGGTTTTCGGGGTTTAGGGGAGTTGGAGAGCGACTGCAAATCACCGAACTAGTCACGAGCACAACCAGGGAAAGACGTCTAGCAGATAAGGCACGCCCTGGGAACAAAGCGAAGCTTTGGAACTCGTCCATCTCTGTCCTCATGCACCTGGCATGGCCAGTCCCTGCATTGAAACTTAAAAGGCGATTACTTGAATTTACTGGTTCCATGAGCCTACAGCTTCTCAACCACCCAAGATGCAAGCGACTATGGAGTTTGATGTTAATCTTCCGGGCTGATGCCGAAGTTTCCGGCGGTTTTTCCACTGGAGATTGCAGAGGCAACTGCAGAGGTTCGACTAATGCTGACACGCGAATGTGAATACTTCAGGAGAAGGCATGCGGGCAATGTCATGTTCTGATTGGTGGCTAACATCCCTAGACCTTCAACTTTCGATGTCCCAACATGATGACGGCAGACACTGCGGAGCTGAAGGTGTGCTGAACAAGAAACTGAAAAGCCTGCCAACCGAATCAATCTACAAGACGTGCGGCTGCTCATGAGTGTGGCCCGATGGGTACGAGCAATTCTGGACTGCATATATGTATATAGTATGTATATATGTATACATACATAC